CAAAGTGTCGCAAAGTTTGGCCGAATACGAGCCACATGCCACGCATTTTAAGTGCCGTCCAAGTCCCAACTATTTGCGATCGTAAATATCCGAGGAAGAAGGCGTGCCAGTATGCACTGTCCGGCCAAAAAACGCCGGCCCATGTCACGGCTAACAGTCGAAACGTGACTATGTTTAGACGGACTCCGAGATTTTAGGCGTCAAGGCACTGGAGGTCACCAGCTCAGCGGTAGAATCTCTGGCAGGCCCAAAACCCGTTCCGAGCTGTAATGAGCCCACCGATCAGGCGACCTTAGTTATCTGCTCGGCCAATTTAAGGAACCATGATATGTGCATAAATTAAGCATTTAACTTTTATAGAGCCGACAAACTAGTTGGAGCAGATGCTATGGCTGGTCTTGAAAAATTCAAAACCAATTTGCGCAAATTAACAAGGCTTTATAATCATTGGCAACACCCAACTTCAAGTACCCACAATTATCCGCTGTGGAATCTGGGAAAACATTTCCGGCATATTAAACGCAAAAAGTATAAGGAGATATAGCAAAACCAAATGTCAGTTGGTTGCCCGTGATAATAACAATAATAATTTGCGGCCTGTTCAAAACTCATTTCCAACTTGCTGCATTTAAAGAGGCCATAAGCGTTTTTAACTATTTCCCTCCCTTTTATGTTACTTTATTTTATTGAGTTTTGCTTGGGAGAAAAGTCATGGGCGAGCTTTAATTTATGGCAGCTCGGGAAACAGATATTTCTGTAGATTGGTTTTGCGCAGTTTTTTGTGGTATTTTTTTGTTTTTTTGGCTATTTTGACAAATGCCTTAAAGTGTTTGGTGCGTGCAAAACGGCGGAACGCCTTCAATTTTATTTATCTTTGTGGAATTGATTTATTTATTTGCATAAATTTAACACGCCTGCGACAGCAGCTGCGCAGCCTGCAGGCTATAAATTGTCTGCATTGCAACACGCAAGTTCGTTGCCTGAGTCTTTTGTTTCTGTCGCTGATCTTAACGATCCTTTTATGTTTATTTTTACTTTTACGTTTCTTGGACTTTGTTTCATGCACTTGGTCAGAACTTCACAACACACGTTTATATTTAGCATTCATCAGATGACACTGCACATACTTTGCCGCTGCTGGTATCTGAAGGATATAGTACTGTTTATCTGCTGTGGGTATCTCGATATCGAACCGCTGTTTCTGCGCTAAAGCATGACAAAACTCATTGAAGACACGGGCCACACTGAAAGCAGCGAATGTGGTAGCATCAGCACAAAGTCTCCGTCTCCCGATTTGTCGGCCTGCGCTGGTCATCAGCTGGTTTGCGAATCAGACAGACGGCTTCGAGCCAGGCCCGAACTCGGAAAGCCGAGCCCGAACTCCAACTCGGCTGCTTTTCGCTTTGTTTTCTATTTCCAGGCGTGTTTTTGAGCGCTTTTTGCTTTTTCGTTTTTGCCAGCCAGTTTTCATTTTCATATGTGGCCCAGGCAACATGTTGCTAGGGCCGTTTCCGGCATTAAATTCTTGAAACATGTTGCCAAGCTTGGGATACACAAATAAATAAATTCAATCGACTAAATGGTGCGCTTAGTTGGAACTACTACTTTTATGGTCTACATTTGCTTAAGTCACAAGAGCACTAAATTAGCAATGATTGGTATTTGGACGGACTCATGATTTTGCAATTCATCTAGGCAAATATTTTCCCAAACTAAGATTACATTTGAGAATCGACTGAGTTAATGACGTTGGTGTGGGCTTGAAATAATATTTTGAACGCCAATAGCATAATTAAATATTCCGACATATGCCCGATAAATAAGCCCAGCTAATTTATTTTGCTTCTGTTTTTCATTTTAATGACCCAACATCTCGCTTGTAATTCATCTGAATACCTCATCAACTAATTATTAATGATTTGTTTAACTTAGAAATATTTAATGAATTAAGTAATGCTAATGCCATTCATCAGACGGACTTGATTTGTTACCGAATTCTGAATGTTAAATTTACACTTTATTTACCATATTTACATTTATTTTTGTCAATATGGTAAAAATCAAAATGATGTTTATAAGACTCAATTAGCATTTGTTTTCAATACATTAAAGGTGATGAAAAAATGAATTAAAAGTGCACTAAATTGCTCAGGAACTCTGTAAACTCTTGATTTTGAACGCCACTAGTTGTAGGCCTATTTGTGTGGGACATCCATGACCTCCTTCAACAAATCACCTGGTGATAACACACACTGAACCACAATGGAGTGTGGCACTACACAGAGCGATTACGTGAGTGACATTGAAATTGGATCCAGCATGATATATAGTCTGAGGCGGCTGAGCTCTTTACGCATGAACTGAAGGCTGGCGTATTTTAATTTCTTTCATTAAACACTTGAAAGCCCCCACACCGAAGTGGTTGTCCCCATCAAATTGGATTTCAGCCGAGTTTGATTTTATTGGCTGGCCAAGTTAATGAGCCCCAGACAACACTTCGTATAATTATCGGTCGCCTTTTGTCAACGCAAAATACTGGTGTGTTCGAATTTATTGAATTTAATTTTATTTTATGGGTTCACAATGTTTTGCTTCCTCGTTAGGGCATCAAATTATGCTAAGTGATTCTGCGCGACTGCAAATTCGGCTCTGCCTTTTGCGGCAAGATAGTTCAGGTCAATTAAATTGTAAATTGTAAATGCAATTAAAAAGCCATATCAATCAGTTCGCCTATCGATTAGCATACACAAGTTTTTCCAATTATGTGTGTGTCTGTGTGTTTAAGTTCGAATAGTAAATCAACAGAAATGTCTGTTAAGATCACTTTGGTCTGACAAGTTGCCTTCGGTGAGATATGGTAAAGTGCACAGAAAGAAATTAGGCGCTCCTAATGGGATTCCATATCTCAGCGGGGACTATATCATGATACGTTTTTCCGCATCATTTCGAAAACGTTACCCAGGCTCCTTTTCAATATATATAATATTTATTATATTTTATTTCCCTCACTGTATGTCTGCTTCAGTAAAGGTGATGGTGGTTGTTGGGCTGTGGTACTGTCTTTGGTCTGCGCTGATCATTGCTGGGCAAAACAGGTCTTTCAAAAGATTATTATCGCTTTTATGGGGTTTTTATCGTTTTTACAGCATTTTTTATGTCTTTATGATTGATCTGATGAAGTTTTAGTTTTTGTTCGCCGTATTTTCGGGACTTAACTGCTGCTGGTCTTTTGCAAGTATTTGATTTTTGGGTGAGAGTGTGGGAGAATTTTGCTAGCCGAAATAATCTGATGCGATAATTTTAATTTTGATAAATTACCATTGCCAGCGAGCGGTTGATACATGGTAATTTTCCAATAGCTTTGCGGGATTGGAGTGGTTTAGTCGGCGGAAACTGGGTTAGGAACCGAAGCCTTATCGCTATATGCTGGCCCTGCCCAACTCCACCCAGTTCTACCTATACGGCTCGCATTTCTGGTTTCTGGACTCGCAACTTCGAATTAATCTGTCAACGACTATCGACCGCCGATCTGGGAACAGCTACCCGGTTACCCTGTGCCCCATATGCAGTTACAGATGAATTAAACATGAGACACCAGCCACCAGCCACCAGCCATCAGGCTTCGCATTGTTTTCCCCCACCTGTCATAATTCATACCCGGGCACATCTAACGAATGCCACCTAGATATCAACCCACGAATTCTCGATTGCAAACGCTGAATGATGAAATATTGATATTGAACGCCTGACTGAAGCGGCAGATATAAACAGCACTGGAAATAATACTATTGGATATTGGATATTACTATATTTATCGAACACAAATATATTACAGTGATGAGGTGAAAGATATAATGAGAGAATATTACTTGCGAAAATCATATAATCCGTGGAGTTGTTATACCTAAATTCAGTATACCTACTTTATTTCACATGTACCCATATGGCAGAACCCAGCTCCGATTCGGGGGCAATCGGCCGCAAAAGTCACAGCCAATAACCCAACTCAATGCCTTCGAATTGCAGCGGATCGGAGTGGATCGGATTGGATCGGGTGGAATGAGTGCGGGTTCATTTATCTTTATTAGGATTGGCAATTGGCAGCCACGCAGATAAGAGCCAGAGGACAAAAGGCGATGGAGGGTCTCTGGGAGGGAAACAGCGCGATTACAAATCATTTGTAATGTCGCCCGAGCTGATACGCTCATTTAGGTTGGTTGTTTATGTAACACATTTCTGCTGGCCATAAAACGAGATTTCTAGTGGTCCCGCAGCACTTGCACTTTGCAATCGCACACAATTAAGTGCAATAATTTATGATAAATTGCCATTTAATCAGAAGAATAAACCCAATACCAATGTCGAACGGAACGGAACCGAACCGAACCGAAACAATTTCTTTTTAATTAACAATATGCTAATGGCTGGGGCTCCCATTTTCAGTTTCAGTTGCCATTTCAGGTTCAGGTTCAAGAAACACTGGAACTAATTCGCAGATCGGCAAAAGAAGGAATTATTATCGGGATTTGACAATAAAAATAATCCCCGCCAAGCTGCCAAGTGTCGATTGAACAGCGGCATCGGCGTATCGGACATGATTGAACGAATAATTAATGGCCGGGGATTAGCGACAAGTACAACGGGCCCCGCTGGATGGATGCTGTACCGCCGCGGGCAGCAAATTAATCAGCACCGGTAGACGAAACGGACGTGGGCGTGACAGTCTAGATGGAGATACGGAGCCATACGAGTGGAGCTGGTTCTGAAAGGAGTTTGTCATGGAGCCACTCAACTGAACGCCTTCAAGGCCAAGTCGTCGTGCTCGCATTCGATATCCTTGCCGCACTTATCCACGCACTTAATGCTATTGATTCCATAACCTGTTCAGTATTAGGGTTCATTATGGCTACAGCATATGCAAAACACCAGCTGGGGCAAACGACCTGCTCGGCCAGAGTATAAATATAGAAGGCGCGCATATTTTCGACTAAAATTAGCGATTCATTAAAAAAAACACATGTTTAATATTCAAAAAGGCATAACAATGACAACAAGCTAAAAGGAAAATGCATTCCCAAAACAGGAAAACAGCGACACACATACGCACGATTAATACGATAAAAACCATTGAAAAGGTGACAAAGAATATTTGAAATGTTACAGCTACGACGAAGGGCAATCTACTCCTGCTGCACCGCCGTCTCCTCCAGGTTGCAGAAGACGTTGCGCATCTTGTCCAGGTCGGGCGGCGCGGTGTCCGGGTTCCGGATCCACATGATGTAGGCCTGCTTGTCGGTCCGGGTCAGCGGCTTGAAGTTGCGAGGATTCTGGGCCTCCTCGTCCTGCAGCTTGGAGTTGTAGCGCGCGTAGAGGAAGATGCGGTATCGCCAGTTGTCGAAGGTCTGCTTCCACTCGCTCACGTGCTTCACGGCGCCCTGGGGCACGGCGTTCAGCAGGTTGGACAGCTTTTGCCAGTAGGGGTCCAGCGCAGGATCGTTGCGACGGTGGTCGTTGATGAACTGGTGCTGCTGCAGGAAGTGCACGTACAGCTCCTTCTGCCGCTTGGACATCCGCTCCTTGCGCTCTGCGGGCGAGAAACAGTTCGACTCATTAACACCATTGTTATTCAAATGTATGTATTCACTGTCAAATTAATGCAAATAATATGCACCTGATGCAATTAATATGCTCTAAATTGGTTGCCGCTTTGTTTATGAACATCGCGATTGGAGTCTTAATGGAAAACCGCAATTATACTTAAAATTCATTTCGAATCATTTGACAATACATCGGAACAATGCCACAACTTGTCACTAAATTGAAGAAGTATATAGGAAGTACAGGTCATCGAAAGATGGCATTTGGAATGCGTTTGGTAAAGATTCGGAAAACATTTCCCAGATCGGCGGAATAAAATGTTTATATCGCCACAAGTGCAGTATGTTTAAAATTAGAATCAAAGGTGCTTGCCTTTATGGTAATTTCTTTGGTTTGTTGCGAGCACTATTTAAAAAGAGTCACTTACGTCGAATGTTGTTTGTCGTAGTAGTGCCCATGGCCATGTTGACACCCTGCTGCTGCTGAATCTGTTGCTGTTGCTCCTGCTGCTGCTGCAGGAGAGCCAGGTGATGTTGTTGCTGCTGCAGGTGTTGATGCTGCTGCTGTTGCTGGATTATGTACTCTTGCTGGATGCGCTCCTGAAATAAGAGGGCAGATCCAAAATATATAACACAAAACCGGCACACATGCCAGACATGGACAAACCCACCTCGTGTTGCTGCTGGTGCTGCTGTTGCAGATGTTGGTGATGCGAGGTGGGCGGCGGTGGCAACGGCAGGGCTGCGGGCAGAGGAAAAGGCGGTGGCGGCTGCGAGTGCGGCGAGTCCGGCAGCTCGTCCTGCGTATCGTAGTCCATCTTGGGCGAGCAGGCCTCGTAGGCGGGCATGCCCAGCTCCGCTGAGGCAGCTCCACTGCTGGCCTTGTCGATCCGATACTTAATGCTCTCCTCGTGCTCATGCTCAGGCTCGTGATCCTCGTCCTCGCAGTGTGGCAGAGCCATGAGCGGAGTGGGCGCGGCCTCCAGCACATTGCTGGGCTGGCACAAATTGGTGGGCTCCTCGGGCGTTGGCGAATCGTTGAGCATTTTCTGGTCCGCACAGCTGCATTGGCGATTCAGCACATAGTTGTCCAGGGCGACATCGCAGACTGGAAAGAATAAGTATGGAATATAGTAAGTAGAAAATATAATCTCTAATTGCATATTTTATGTGTAATCTAATTCAAGGTGAAAAACGCGATTTCTTTCTCTTAAAAAGTATTGTATTTCTTAGCACTAGTTAAAGTACACATTAACAGATTGATTTTTGCACTTTGATCCCATCTAGTAGTCGTAGCTGTTAGTTGCCGTGGTAGACTCGTCCAGCGGCACGAACATGTCCATCTTTTCGAAGTCCTGCGGCGCTATGTGCTTGTGGCTGGTCCACATGGCATACGCCTTCTGGTCGGTAGCTGTCAGGGGTTTGAAGTTCTTCGGAGCGGTCGTTTCCGACATGCTCAGCTTGGAGTTGTAGCGTGTGTACATGAAGATGCGGTACCGCCAGGCGTCGAAGGTCTGCTTCCAGTCTTCCACGTTCTTCACGGCTCCTTGGGGAACACTGTTCAGCATGTGGGCCAGTTTTGCCCACAGTGGTTCGGTGAGGCCATCGTGCCGGCGATGGTTTGAAAGCATGCAGGGGTTGTCCTCGAAAAACTTAACGTACAGTTCCTTTTGATCCTTGGACATGCGTTCGCCGCGTTCTTTAAGAGAATTTTAAAGGATTAAGTTCGGATTTACGACTGGTGCAAGGACTTCTCTCACTTCTAAAGCGACTCATCAGACCCGGCGTGTAAGGCGACTGTTGGGAGGCATTGGGTGCATTCATCGGCGGCAAAGGATGCGTGTAGTTGGGGAAGATCTGCTGACCCGGCAGCATCTGTTGCTGATGCTGTTGCTGCTGGGCTTGGTGCTGTTCCTGCCGCGCCAGGAATCTTGAGGCCCGCTGCAGACGCTCCGCCTCCGATTCCGACTCCGACTTGGGTATAATGTCCATGGGGTCAATGGCCTGAGTCATCGATTCTGGCGTCCGTTCCGAGTAGACCTGTCCCAGGCGAAGTTTGTGAGAATTGTCCGTGGGTTCCGACACCGAGTTATTGCCCTGATGGTCCAGTGGCGAATCCACAGCCTCCGAGCTCATCCCTAGGGCCGGAGAGGTTGGCTGGGAGCCAGGCACATATTCGTGGGCGTGGTGCGAGGCGCTTTCGTTGGAACGCTGCGGCAGTGGCACATGGTGCTGGTGCTGATGGGCGTGGTGCTTTAAGGCCGCCATCGAGCAAGAGGGCTCGTAGGAGAGCAGCTCCTTGGCGTGACCATCGTCCAGAGCTGCAAGAGGGAGCATTTTACAATTTGGGTTTTATTACAGATGGCAATCGCAGAAACTTACAAGCGAAGCGCACGCATCGTCTACATAAACACAACTGATCTACAAACAAGTCCGGACTCGGAAACTCCGGAACTCCGCGTCACCGCGACACCGCGACTCCGCGACTGCGGGTTGCCCGGAGTCACTCGAACGCTTAAAAGCTAATTGAAACGCGACTTAGCCGTAACTTAAACGCTATTTACCTTGACTGATCTCTATAACGAAGTTGGTGAGGTCGTGCCTCTGGGCCAGATAGTGCAGCAGCAGCTCGTCCGGGATGTTAAAGCCGATCTTCTTGTTCCGGAACTCGAAGTTGTAGATCCCGAAGGCGGCGCGCACTGTGTGGCGGGATTTGTTAGTTTTATTTCATGCTTAGCGACCTAATCACTGGGGGGCTCCGTGTTTTTGGACACCACCCCCTCCCCTCACCCTCCCCATCCACACCATTGCTTACCCACGTTCTTCAGGTCCCATATGTTTAGGTTGCGGTTCTCCTCGGGCACCCCGATCATCAGCAGCTTCTTCGTGTCGCGAAACTGAAACGGAATTATGATCCCCGATCGCAGCACCATTTTTGAAGCGCCCACACACGCGATTTATAAAAATTTTCACAAATTTCTCACGTTCGCTTTGTGCTCGTCCTCCGTAATTGTTTTGGTCTCCGTTTATTGTCGTTCGTAAACAGCGAACTAGTTCCGAGCTGCGAGCAGTCTGGTCACACACCTGCAGTTCCGCGAACCGGCCCGGAACGAGAGGCTTAAATGATTGCCTAGAAAACTATTAGTATTTTTTCAATGAATTTATAACGTTAATCAAAACTATAAGTGGTATGCATGTGCAAATTTTAACTTTTTATACAATATTATCTGAAACGCCAAACAAGAACTAGTTCCAAAGACGGCTGCATAAAAATAAACGCTTCCGCTTGGTCACACAGGAAAGCTGATTTCATAGAAAGGAAAACCAAAACAAGACGAATCCGAGTAAACCCGTCCATATGCCTTGCAACTACCCACTAAGCATACTATGCTTCTTCCAGGTTGAATCCAACACTTGCTCCAATACGAGAGTTTGCCGCCCGCCTTCACAATGCTTGAGAACTGCCAGCGACACCACATGCTCCTTGGACTAGGAGCCCTAACGATGGTCACCATCCTCGTCCTCTTCGTGGAATCCCGATACGCGGCAGAAGGACCACGTCGCCGAGAGCCGCAGTTCGTCATCGAGGACAACTCCACCTGCTGGCGGAATGAGAAGTACACGATTGTGGAGGAGTGCCACCCCTGCTCCGAATTCGACATAGTCAGCAGGAGCCTGGGCGTCTGCATCCACACGCACTACAAGGAGCTGCTGCGCTGCCAGAGTGGCGAGATCGTAACCAGGAGCTGCGACCGGGTGGCGCTCATCGAGCAGATGAACTTCCTGAAATTCGAGGTGTTGTGCTTTGTGATCGGATTGCTGAGCTACCTGGTCAGTTATGCCCGCGATCGAGTCCTGTCCAGGCGCAACTACATGAGGATCGAGCGACAGCTAAACCGCGTGCAATAACCCCCGCCAAATCATCCATTCCGTTCCCCAAGTGATACTCATTGACCGTACGGAAGGTACATTATTTAATTTAGTTTAAGTACATACACTCTGGAAATACCATGTTAAAATTCATTTGCTAATACTAGGGGGTTTAATATATTGCATACTTGTGGAATGCTCGTTTTCAGGGGACAAACACAATTCGGTGCTAATAATATGCATAACATTTTGATTCGGTAATAACAATCGGTCCTGTACTTCTGGCATCCTTTCAAATTGGCAGATTCTACTGCCTGTTTTATATTCGTAGAAAATATTCAATAACTAAGCCCTAAAAAGCTGTTAAATTCCGATGCGACCGCGTTTGATTGGATGCAGAAACAGGTTTAAAGATTCAGCTGCCTGGAATGTGTGGAATTCTTCGTTATAACTCCCTAATTCCGCCAGTCGGGAATCAGGTCCGGTTCAGCTCCCATGGAGGCAGTGGGCGGCATGGCGGGCGGAGCCACTGTGGGCAAGGCTGGAGGCGATGGCTGCGCGTCCAAGGTCTCCTCGCTGGTGGTGCTCGCGTTGCTGCAAGCCTTAAGGGAGTTGTCCGTCATGGGTAGCGGTTTGGCCACCCCAATACGGACCACTCCCTTCGAAGCACCCTTCAAAGCCTGCACAGCCTGGTCCAGCGAGGCGTTCTCCAGGTTAATAGAGTTCACAAACAACAATCGATCTCCGGGAATAAGGCGTCCATCCAATTGAGCCACACCTCCAGGCACCAGAGAACGGATTACAATCAGCGTATCGTTGGGATCCAGCGGATCTTGATAATCCAGAATGGAGAAGCCCAAGCCACGGTCGCCTTTGACCAATTCGATGATTTGAGGTTGGGACGACCACATAGCCAGTCCGGTTAGTGGCTCCAGGGAGCGCGACTTCAGCTTACTAAACGACGCAGCAGCGGCAGCCACTGAATCCCCATCGGCCACGGAGCCCGCGGTGGCCAGACTACCATCGGATTTGGCCTTCACCAGGCGATCGGTAGCAGGCAGGAGGTTCTCAAAGTTGTTACTCAACTTTTTCAGGGTGTCATCAGAGAATGGGAGAAGCGAGCTATTCCTGTTGCGACCGCAAACCATGCGCACATCCAGCGGCAGTTCCTTGAGTATAGCCACCACCTCCAGGTGGTTCATGCCCAGCAACCGCTCGCCGTTTACCTCCAGCAATTCATCGCCAGAGCGGAGTACTCCATTCACGCCTACGGGTCCATCGGGCAAGATTGAACGAATATAGTGATGGGGTCGTACCTCGCGCCCTCCTTCTACGTCCACGGTTCCCTCCAAGGAGATTCCCAATCCGCCGACTGCGAACTTCTTAATCTGGGCCACAATCACCTCCACATCGGAGCCCACAATCTTCTGCCACTTGCGAATAATTTCGGTTTCTGCGTCGTCTGACAGCTCCGGATCGGTGTAGTATTTGTGACGGGTGATCACACCGCTGTTCTTGGCCTATAAAACGTTCTTCCGCTATAAGGTTTGCTGCTGTGTTACCCCTTTAACTAATACTCACCTCTGTCTTATCCGCCAATGGTGCAACTTCTGTGGGTATGATCTTTGTGGAGCCATCCAGGGAATCCCTTACTGCTACCAGTTGCTTACCCGCTCCAAAGGAGCTCAATGTGGTGGTTGTCATTGTGGTGACCGACGGCGGAGTGGTCATGAATGCTTCTGGCGCTGGTAAGGCTTCCTCTTCCAACTCCCGAGTGATGCTACGTGATGGTGTAGTTGTGGCCGAGGACGTTGTGGCTACGGGCGTGGGCATGGGAGCCCTTGAAGGCGTTCCAGGAGCACTGGATGGAAGCTTGTCATTCGCAGCGATGGCCTGTTGCAGTTGCTCGAATTTGGGGCCCCTCAGGTAGCGTTCCAAGCGGAGGTTCACCACCTGACCGGACTTCTTTAGCAGCTCTACGGCCTGGTGGTTGGAGTAGCCTTGCAGCGACTGGCCGTCAACTTCAATGATGCGATCGTTGACCCGGATGCGACCACTCAAGTCCGCCGCTGAACCGGGCGAGACGCTCTTAACGAAAATGCCAGACAGCTCTTCTTTCTCACAAACATAGCCGGCAATGGTGATGCCCAGGCCATTGGCATCCTTCTTCAGCTCCACTTGAAGCTTCTCCGTTTCGGGAAGAGCAAGCAATTCCTCTAGGTCGATGCTGGGATCAATTAACATGGAGGTCTCACCGCGATAAACGAAGCGATCGTCTTCCGTGGTGGTCTGCGGAGTTGAGGCTGTCGAGCTTTCGCCAAAGATTTCCGGATAGCCGGTAGATATAAGGTACCGCTCCAGCTCGGCAGGATCGACTAGGACGCGCGTGGGCACCACAGCAGTGCCCGGTTCCAGGGCGTACTGAGGCGTGGGTACGCTCTGCTCGACGGGACGGGCGACCACCAGGCGGACGTGGGTTCCAGACTGTCTCAGCACGGCAGCCACCTGCTCAGAGACCATTTCGTGCAGGTTGACGTCTCCAATCTGGAGGATGTGGTCGCCCGAGCGCAAGCGTGCATCCTTATCGGCGACGCCCCCCGGCAGGATGGTTTTTACAATCACCCCCGAGTTGCGAGCTCCAATGATGCCGAATCCGAGACCCGTGCCGTCATTGACCAGCTCTATGGCCTGGATCTGGGCGTAATCCGTGGCGTACAGATCCGCCACTCCGGCGCCCTTGGAGTTCTGGCTCTGCGGGCGCGGCTCCTCGCCGACGCCTCCGGACTTATCCGGACTGCCCGGAGCAGAGTGGGAGTGCGACGAGGATCGCTGTTCGTCAAAGTCGTACATCACCTCGCCGCCATTCAAACTGAGGACAAGGTTGCCAGCCACATCGATGTCGAAGTCGTTGGGCAACATGGACGGATGCTGGGCCAGCTGTGCGTTCAGCTCGGACAGCGAGTCCTGCACGTGGACGATGGTGCGGAAAACGGGATCCTGCAGGATGCCCAGAATGGTGCTGAGGCTCTCGGCCGTCTGCATCTGCAGCTTGGGGTCGTCGGACTCATCGATGCCCTTCTTCACAGCCTCGATCTGCTGAAGGGCGCTGGAAATGTCCGCGCTGAGGTGCATCTTGTGGCAGTAGGCGTGGCAAGCGAGCGGTCAGTGGAGCGTGGTCCCCGTCTCTATCCCACTTCCGCTGGCGTTTCTATGGACTTCTGGGGTGGGGGCGTTGTGGCGTTGGCACACTTTGTCCTAACTGCAAAACGGGTAATCCGATTTGGAATCGAAGTGGGACAGCTCCGGACTTGTTACTGCGCCGTGTGGATGCCGCGAGGTGTTTCCCCGCTCCGTTGCACTCTTTTTGGTAGTCACTTGCTCTGCTGCTTTAGCAATTGATTTTTAATTATCTCTGGATTGGAATGCCAAATGCATTTTCTTTTCTCGAACAGCTGATGGACAGGGTTGCCGAGCGATTGCGTTGTACATCGATAGGCAATCGACCTAGTTGGAAAAGTTGCCATCTTTTTAAAATCAATTCAAATTTGACCGTTACATCTGTGAATGGCTATTTATTATCACAGTTTATTATCAAAGTAGCATTTTCGTAATAAGAAAAGGCCTAAAATAATGCTTTTATATAATATGGGTATTATTCTCATCCTTTAAAACACAAAATTTGAATTTATTTCCGCTGTGCGTACAATGTTCTGTGTTCCATATACGGAAAAACAAAGTATCTGCCATCAAACCATGTTACGTTCCTCCTCCTCCTCCAGTTCGATTTCGAGCTTGCGGAATTCGCGGAAAAATTGGCGAGTGATATGCTTCATATGCGACGTCAAGTACTTTGGAAAAATATCTACAGAAGAAACAGAAAAACTATCAGACATGAAACCCCCAAAAGAAAATGAAAACCCACAATTAAATTCTATTATGAGATCCCCGTACTGCTCCACCTTCTTGTTGGCCTCCTTGATAGCCGTAACTGCATTCAAATTGCGGCACTTGGGCAGTCCCTCGAGGGGAACCACTTTGGTGTATCCCGGCTGCACTACGTCCGTAATGACCACCTTTAACTGACGCCGGTCCAGCGTGCAAATGAAGAACGTGAAGCCGGTGAAGGCCTGGCAGAGGTCAATAGAATGCTTGTAGACTAGGTCATGCTGGTTCCTCCTTTCAAAGTCTGGATGCGGCTTGTCGGCGGCAATGAAAATAATATCACCCGGAATGGTGGCCGGATAGCGATCGCCCTCCTCCTTGAAGCAGAAGCGAGTACCGGCAGTGGTGCCCGGGGCAATGTTCAGCTTTAAGGTGTGTTTCCGCTTCTCAAGCCGCGATTCCTTGGCGTCCACAATCTCCTGCCGCCACACGTTCATCAGCTTGACGCAGCCAGTGCGCACTTCCTCCAGAGACAGCTCGATAACCCTCTCCGTGCTGGCGTCCTTGGAACGCACGCCAATGCCATGCTGCCGCGTGGCGTACAAACTCGGCGGGTTGGAGATGGCATCGATCACGTTGGCATACGGCGAGTAGCTGCCGAAGACCCTCTCGTAGACCTTCATGTGGTCGCCATCGTACTGATAAGGCGGAAAGTATCCGTTCGGCAGCATGACTCCTTCGAACAGACCAGCCTCGCCATAGCGATCGTATATGGCACGGTAGAGATCGTTGCCCAGCACATCGAAGGCCATGTTGATGTAGGCCCACTGCCTGGGCTCGCCCATGGGTGAGAGATGCGTGAGACGTCCCTCCTGGGCCAGCGGCACAAAGTCCTGCTCGTCCTTCTTGTCGCGATGTGGGCAAAGGCGAATGGCCAGGCGACGGTAGGCCAGAGTAATCTGTTCCTTGGTGGAGCCTCTGGCCTGGTCCAGCACTGCATAGTAGTCCAGCTCCGGGCGGTTCATTGTTTATACTCGGATTCGAAACGAATAACTGGCAGAACTGTTCATCGAATGGTTGACGTGTTACTGAGAATTTAGGTGACTTTATTCAAATTATATACAACAACTCAACTGACGCAGGATTTGGTTAAGAATGAAATATGCTTGTGGACAATACATTAAGATTAGAGCTATGGTGTAGATGGAAACGTGTCGGCGATCAGTCAACGTCCTCAGTGCTGACGCCAGTGTAGATGGGCTCCTCCTTGGCCGCGCTCTCCGACTTGGCATCATCGGTTTTCTCCTCGCCACTGGCGACGCCATCTGAGTCATCGTCCTCCTTCTTGTCGCCCTCCAAATCAGCGGCATTGGGCACCCAAAGGCCAGAGTCAACACAACGCTTCATGTGCAGCTTGGCCACGTCCACGGGCATGGCGGCAATGGTCTTCTGCAGCAGCTCTACATCGCGGGACTCGAAACAGGCCTTTAGTTCCTGTGGACCAAATACAAGAAAAGTTAGCCAAGTAATTACCCAAACAGCAAACCACTGGAACGTACATCGGGCAGGGATTCAAAGACATCGGCTGGGTCCAGACCACCAGGTCCGAGGCGCTCCTTGCGCTCCTCCTCTTCGGCCTGGGCTATCGCCTCCTGAATCTTCTCCTGAGCACGTTTCTGAATGCGTCCCTTGAAACCTTCGATTTCGCTTTCGAACTGCGCGCGGTACTCGGGCTGACAGTGCTGGATCTTCGAGAAGAAGGAGCCTACACAGGCGCGAGGATCCACGTCCAACTGTTTGGCCAGCTCCAGAATGTACTGCATGCAAATGCACTGATGCGCCACGTGGGCCATCAGTTCGTGCTTCTCCTCCATTTCCAGGTTGATGGACCAGATAACCAGGTAGTTTGCCGTTTCCTCGCCCACCAGGTGAAGATGGTCCTGCAGAAACCGTTTCGAATCATCGTACTTGCGCAGCATGCCATACTGCTTGCAAAGCTTTTCGTTCTCCTTGACAAACTGCTTCATGCGCTGCTCTCGTTCCTCCTCGGACAGATTCTCGTCCGGCTTGCGACCTGCCTTCTTGTTGATCACGGTCTTCTCAAAACCGGGTTTGCTGATGGTGTCCACGTTCCAGGGTGTTTTCTTTTCCTTCTTAATCATATCGTTCTCGATGCGATCAAGCTCTTTGCCCTCGGCCTCGATCTTTTCCAGCTCTTTCTGTAGGCGATAAAAATTCCAGATTACATACTGCTTCTTTCATAATCGCCACTTAGAATAATAGAATACCATTCGAACATCTTAAGCCTGACAAAAGTAATAAATTATAAATCTTGATTGGATGGCCTGAGAAATTACAAATAAATATTCAGGAGAATACTGAGAATCCAGTCGAGGGCAACCAGCAACAAGTGAGCAGTGCATCCGGTGCAATGACATACCTTCAGAGCCTCCTCGTCGCCGTCCTTCTTTGAGATCCGCTCCTTGACGTCCATGAGACGCGCCTGGTAGCTCTGGCGCTTCTTCTTAAACTCGTCCTTCTCATGGTCCATCTCCGCCATGCGCTCCACGCGTGCCTGGTGTCGCCAGCGGAACAGGGAAGGCGTGTCTATGTTCGGGTGAGTGTCGTCCTCGTCGTCCGAAATCTGAAAGGGAGTGTGCCGATTAAGAGGACTGCTAGGGTTGGCTCGCACCTGTGGGCTCACCTCGATGTTCTTCCACTTGCTGTAGTCCACCATTTTGCTGTTTCTTTGCTGCGGGCTTCCTTTAAATTTAAATGCTGCAGGTTTTTGTTCGTTTTCCGCTGCTTCCTTTTTTTTGGATTGCTCTGGAAATTAGTGTGACCGCAGGGCTATTACGGAATAATATCACAATAAGCCCCGCGATGAGTAAAGCGCCAAAGCGGCCAGAAATGGAACCATGTTTAATCGATTAACATCGATAGAAAACGCGATATTGATGACAATATTCTTCAGCAATTGGCCGACATATTGAAAAAAACTGCGGTTCCGTGAAATTGAGGCGCTCCGTGAAAATTACGAATAACTACTGCAAATCAATAGTTAAATTAACAAATTCATTGTGAACAATTAGATTGTCATCAAAGTGTAAGTTTTCCAATCGTTTTCGTCCGTAGCTCATTGTTAGTTGGGTTCAAAATGCAATTGAAATTCGGTGTGCGTGCAAAGTGAAAATTTTTCGGGTCAACGCCACACCCTCGAAGGCGACATAAAAATCCAATTAACGGGGCAAAAGTGAGAGAAAAGTCTTGGCCATAACTGAAAAGCTATAAGGTTCAATGCTAGTGCTACATTAGCCATGGAGAATTTTGAATTTCTGCCAAAAGTCTCGACTCCAATTGCAACTTAAGAAAAAGTATCTGGTGCTCCAGTTGTGCATGTGTGTGTGCGAGTTACGCAGGAGTAGAGTAGGCTGTGTGTGTACGTCATCGGGCGGTGGTGGTGGTGCGGCAACTTCACAAGAGAGAAAGCGAGAGAACACACTCTCTCTTTGCTTGTTTGTGTTTGCGAGCGATTTTAAGTACGAGTACAAAAAAAAAAAGCAAAGTGCTTGCCTTACATTTGCCAAAACCTGTTTTGGGTGGGGAAATGTCCTTGACTTTATTGAAGGCCTGTGTTCGCATAGGACATTTTTGTTTGTTTGCAAGGCGATTTCGTGTTCATAGTACGCTTTCGTACCAGTTGATTTTCGGAGCCTCTTCCATTGATTACTCATAATTCCAAACCGTACGAATTACGTCATCCTCGGCTATTTTCTGATAGACACTTCAATTAATGTTTCGCTCTTCCTCTCTTTCTATTCGCTCTCTTTTTGAGGTGGGATCTCTCGCACTTGCCGATTTTGTTGTTGTTTTTGTTTGCCACCGCGATAAACAGTTAAATTGCCTGCCTGTGTGCGTGTGTGTGTGCTCCAACTTTGTATGGCTGCCAAGCCCTGGGCTGTTGCCATCTCGCTCTGATTTATTTCAATTTCCTGTGGCAAAGTGTGTTGTTTGTTTGTTTCTCTGCATGCTGACCCACCCTCTCCCAAAAATGATGTCATTGCTCACTGTGACCCCTTCTAAAGGGGCGATCTGAAATATTAAGTTAAGTGCTGCTGAAATCCGAACATTCCACAGATTTCCTTATCGTTAGTGCTAATTGTATTTCATGTTAATTTATTGACTAGAATTCATTCCTCGGCTTTTCTCCATTAATCATTATTGGCCAATGTTAGCTACTTTACCTTATGATCTTGGAATTTCAGAAGTATTAAGTAAAGTAGTTGGCAATTACAAATACTTCTCGGCATTTCCTATCCTAATTGCTTATTTGGGATAACTTAGTACTGATAATTGGAAACCATTAGAAATGAAATAATATCTAATATTAATCATTGAAAATATTTCGTCTAAAACACAAAAAAAATCTTGATGCAAATCTAAATACTTGTGGGAACCTACTATATAAATTCTTTTATTGTTTAGGTAAATATCTGTAAAATTTGTTTAGCAAACATGTGCATTTTTCCAAACTACACCTACAAACCATCGTATCCCGATTTCCTCGCTTAACTATAACCCTTCTATCCTCACCAATATTTAACTTTTTACAACTTTTAGTAAAGGTGATAATGTCATCGCCTCCTAAATTTGACAATTCGTAATGTGTTTAGTGTAATTTACTTTGATTTAGTTTAGTGTGTGCAATACAAAAAGAAAATCCTGCAACAGCAACCCATCCAAACAAGTCTAAAAATAAATTAGAAAACGAAAACCCACAAAAGCCGAGCCAACATTTCCCTTCTCTCCTCTTCCGTTGCAGGGAAACAAAAGGGAGAGAGGGATTGGAGGAGGGCCAAAGGTCGAAAATAGCTCGAGCTGAGGCGCAGAAAATAGAACACCAGATCATGCCCAGAGAGCTCAAAGCGGGAGATACAGAAATGACGAAGCCGGAAGAGAGTCATCTGCTGCAGCTGCTTGCGCAACTGGAGAAGGTGCCACGCCACCAGTTGCAGCACAAGTTCGTCGCCCACTTCAGAAAGGGCGGAAAGGCTAATCAACAGAGCAAGTGCAGCGTGGAGGACTTTGCCACCTACTTTTTAGGTGCACTGCGTCGGAGCACAAATCAGTACTTTAATTCGCGGAACTCGGAGACACCCGTATTCCCCTTGACACCCATCCGTCAGCTCAATCCATCGGCCGCCGATGAGGCCAAGGAACAGGAGCAGCACAAGCTCAATGAGTCCTCAATCCTTAGCCGGAGCAGCTGCAGTGTGACATCCACTCCGAATACGACTCCGGCTCGACAGCTGCCGCAGGGCAGAAGGTCAACGCCAGGAAGTGGCGCCCAGTTTTGCAGCACGCCCAACAGAAGCGGTGGCGGAGGAACAGGAGGAGGGCACAGCATCTGCTTGGGAAATTTTCTGGGCAACACACCTAACCAGAGTCAGCAGCGATCCAAGAAGAAGACCACACCGCAGCAACAGCAGCAAAATCCACATTCAACAGTGGGTTCAGGAGCAGGAGGCACACCGCGAATTAAGCCGCGGCGACGGGTCTTACCCACGACCATCAGCAAGAATGTTTCGGCCAGCTCCTCTTTTGGAGACACCAGTTCCTTTAGCAATGACAATAATTTTTTGCGAATCTCGCAGAGCAGCGAAATCTTTGATAGAAGCCAAGAAGCAGCCCTGGAAATGGAGGCCCGCAAGTTCCTGTTGCTCAAAAAGCAGGAGATCAAAAGCGAAGCGCCAGTGCATGTCAGTCAACCGGAGAGGACGCCCGACGATGAGGTAATCCCTGAGGAAGCCTTTACTTTGGAGAATGTGGTCAATACAAACCAAATGCAGCTCCTGTCAACAATTTACAGTCTGTTGATAGATCTCAATTTAGTGCCCAATGTACTAGGCGAACTTAGTTTTGTGCTCCAGCTGCTGAATGTGCGAGATTTTGGCCAATCACCCGTCAAGTCAGATCTACCCAGTGCTTTGGAGGGACTCACTCAGTACAAAAGCTGTGTATACTTTGCCGTAAAATTGCTGGAGAATCAGCAAAAGCTACTTCTACAGCTTGACAAAAGGTCTTTGGGAATCTTGCTACAAAACGAAAGATTAAGTCTGCTGCCCCCAGGAGTTGTCCAAGAATTGGAAACATACTGTCAGCAGAGGCAGGACTTGACAACACCCTTCACTATGGACACCTCTTCGTCCTCACAGCAGAATGTGTACTATCACGTGGAGAAGGACTCGCGGGATAACTTTCCTGCTCAGAAGGAGTTCGGGGCCTTCAAGTCCCAAAGGGACCTCTTTTACAAAGCCCTTAAGCGGTGGGAAGTGAGCCATCTGAATCGGGTTTTCAACTTCGCCAGCGAACTGGGACCCCGTATTAGGGATGTCTTTAAGGTGTCGGAGCACCCAGTGAACATGACGCACCTGGCCAAACTATTTGTCAACCAATTGTTGATCTCCGCCACCGAGACCACCGAATCTCCCGAAGAACTGGGTCTAAAGCTGGATCCCCTCAGGCACAATAAACTGGCACAGCGCTTGGTGACGTCCAGTTCCAGTGTGGAAGGTCAGTTTCCCCGCTCGCAGGCATTTTTTCGCGACTTCATCGCTGAATGCTCATCGGTGGCATTTCTAGTGCATCTGAAGCTGGAGCTCTATGCGCAACTAATGCGTCACAACGACTCCACCTTTGACCTGCTCCAGCTAACTGAGGATGTGGGTGCCGAAGAACAGTCCGCTCAGCAGGGACCATACATTGTACGCGTCCAGGCCATGGCCAACATGATAATCCTGGCCAAGTTTTTGGGCTACGTAACTGTGATGCCTTTCAGTGGGACCACGCAACATGGAAACCCAACACCGCCATATCTTTGCCCACAGCAGTTGCAGCTTCGTAGCCATTTTCATCCGGACTTCAATCTCCACGAGATACTCGAACGCTGCATGCGCCAGGGCAAGCTGCTGATCACGCTACCGTGGTTAGTTCAATACCTGGCGATGCTCGACTTGGTCAGCCTACATCTCCCTGATGCTGTGGCCACTTTGGAGCTGCTGTACGGATTGTATGCCGCCATACGTATGGAAAAATTGCACCCCGCAGCTGTGTTCATAGCCAGGAGTTGCATTGGATGGCTTTTGGATGAACAGCCGCAGCTGGTTAATGGCTACTACAAATACCGGGCACATGAAACCGGAGTTGGAAGCGTTTCGTCAATTGTGGATACCTGCCTAAAGGGCCTCTGTTGTCAAGATAAATCGCACGGCCCATTGTTGGACGAACTGCTGCCAGTGGCTTGCCCTTTCCTGCAGGAATTCCGGGTGAGCATTACGCCCTCCAGACAAGCGAGAAGTGGGCGATTCCGGTACATAACCACTCGGTTGGAGCAGTTGCAGCAGAACAGCAGTTCCATTTCTAAAGAGGCGATAGTTGCCAGCGAACTAAGTCCTTCGGAGCAGCAGCATCGCAAATTGGCCGATGCATTTCTTCATTCCCAAAACGCATCCACCAGGAGGTTGATAGAGTTCGTCACGGAGCGCAGTTATAAGTGTGTCGTCAAGGACGCCCAGCAAGAGATTCTGCTCCCGTCCAAGGCGGCGGCGGATGCCAAAGTAAACGAGATTAGCTCCACGAAGCGCGGGGTGGTCTTTCAGGAGCTTCAAGAGATCTTTCAAGATGCCATAGAGAAGGCTTGCCAGCGTTGGAAGGAGCGTGTGCATGAAATGCTGGACAAGCGCATAGAGCAATCCCTAGAGGCCCTTCTACCTGTCTCCACCAATGCGGTATTGCGGTCTACATATGCTCACTTAATCCGCGTGCAAGCTCAGTCTCAGCTGCAGCAGTGGCTTCAGTCCAGCGTGCTTCAGTCCAATTTTTATCATGGCGA